ATGAGCTTCCAAACCCACCCTCAGCTCATCTTCGTACTTTGCAGTCAAATAAGCAATCATTTTGGGATTTTAAAGTTTGGATGTCAGGAGAATTTTACACTCAAAGGTTATCTTTATTGAACTCAGTGCTTGGTCCTATGACCGCCACAACGAGTTGTGGTATAGATGCGCTGGATCAAAACGCGGGCAGGATTCCCTCGTAGTGGGTATTAAACGGGCAGCAAATAATCTACTTCAATCCCAGGCCACCGCCGTGCATGGGAGGGTTGTGATACGATTTCTAGACATAGACCTTCACGCCGTGTCAGCCCCTGCGCTGAATCCCAACAGCAGCTGGTTGGCAGTCTTGACAGTCGAAGGAGAGTGGGAATCCATCCTCAAGGCACACCAGCGCATGTCTCGGTCTAGTAAATCTAACGCTCTTGAACCTATCAGGGTGAGCTGAAAGTCGTTGACTCGGAAGGCCGTCAACTGACGGGATACTTTGGCCCTCCTCAGGACTTGGGGTCACTTCACTGCCTCGAAGAAGGAGACACGATCGCTGTGACAGGAGCTTTATTAGCCTGACGTTTCGGATTCCTGCTCGAATCCATCATCAGAGGCAAAATCAGATACGGGTGGTTTATGCACAAGGGGCTGCAGTATTTATAGGATGCAGTAGCCATGCTACCACACACCTATGAATATTGACGACTCCCCCCCTTCATCAGGGATCGTTGCATGTGGTGTGAAGGTCGACATTAGCGTCGTTAATTGTTGCAATTTCATCACGTGCGTTGGATGTTCGTGTGATGATTGCTCGACCATCTGACGCGCTGACCCTGATGTAGGGAAGAGTGTTCACCTGTGCACTCCCCGCGTGGCTAATTACTCTGCCTAGGCGAAGTCTCAGCATTGAGTATGGAAGGGGAAGATCATTGCACTTGTTAATGGACTGGGGGCCAGTAAACCATGATTCAAGTAGTTCCCGGCTCACGCGGTTGTCACCTCTTGCGAGAATTTCGGCCTCGTCAAATTTGAATGTTTGGCCGGAACCCGTTGAATGAGCCGCCACTTGAGAGCTGGCGTCATTTCTCCGTATCGCTGCCGTGTGTTCGGCCATTTGCGTCCGGAACTGTCTTCCGGTTTCTCCGATGTAGTTGCTTTGTCCGCAGCTGCACCAGATCCGATGAACGACTCCAGACATTTCTAGCCGTTTCAATGTGACGAGGACGAAATTCTCGCAAGAGGTTACAACCACGTGAGTCAGGAGCTGCTGGAGTCATGGTTTACTGGCTCGCAGTCTATCAACAATTGTAATGATCTTCCCATTCAATACTCCGTGCTAAGACTTCGCCTAGGCGGAGTAATTGGCCACGCTAGGAGCGCACAGGCGAACACTCCTCCCAACACCCGGGTCAGCGCGTCAGAAGGTCAAGCAATCATCACACCAACATCCGACGTACAGTAGATGTGCTAACTCATGAAATGTCAACCAAAATTTCGAAATGCATTCTCGTTTCGAAAAGATAAATTAAGTAGTGTTGTAAAACTAATCATGATGCAGCATAAATCTATAATGATCCAGTTACCTTAGGGTGTCGGCTTTCGAAAGAACTTATTTTCGGCTGCACGCAAGATCTATACTCTGCGAAAAATGATTACTTATGTAGTATGCAATTCTCTCACTGATTTTTTTACTTATTCGGTAGAAAATCACGTCTTCTTCCAATTTCATACTCAAAAGATCAGTATAATTCGGTTTTAAAAAAGTTTCTAATTGTGAGATTTTTTAATAACGTTAAATGGCCGTTCATGAAACGTTGAGTATCTGCATTTACGAATGTGGCTTGTAAAGTTAACAATATTGCTCAAATCCACTGCTTCATTTTATGAACCTAATATGACCTCCCCTTAACACCGTAGAGAAATGCATGGTTTTCCGTACACGGAAAATATAAAGCTGGTAGTTTGAAACCCTGAATGCAAGTGTAACAGCAGCTCGGGTTCAAAATTATTTGGGAATTAGAAATGTTTTTCAAAACCGAATTATACTGTTCTTTTGAGTATGAAATTAGAAGAAGACGTGATTTTCTACCGAATAAGTAAAAAAATGAATATTTTTATGCATGTTTTCCATGAAATATAATTGAATTTTCAAGGGCATCGAAAATCAATGACAAAAATTGCATACGATATAAGTAGTCATTTTTAGTAGAGTATGGACCTTGCATGCAGCCGAAAATAAGTTCTTTCGAAAGCCGACACCCTGAGGTAACTGGATCATTATAGATTTATGCTGCATCATGATTAGTTGTACAACACTACTTAATTTATCTTTTCGAAACGAGAACGCATTTCGAAAATTTGGTTGACATTTCACGAGTTAGCACATCGACCGTACGTGGTGAAGTTGCAGCAATTAACGACGCGAATGTCGGCCATCACGGCACGAGCAATGATCCCTGATGAAGGGAGGGGAGCCGTCAATATTCATAGGTATGTGGTAGCATGGCGTCTGCATCCTATAAATACTGCAGCCCCTTGTGCATAAACCACTCGTATCTGCTTTTCTGTCTCTGATAATGGGTTCCAGCAGGAATCCGAAACGTCAGGCTAATAAAGCTCCTGTCACAGCGATCGTGTCTCCTTCTTCAAGACTGCTTCCTGGAACTCGTCTCTTCGCTTCTATTGTTACTTTACTGCCGTCGTCACGAAAGTCTAGTTTAGGCTGTGGGGGCCGGCTTGTGTGCGGTACGCGCAGGCGTACGCGTTTTTCGACTACAAGGACCCTGATCACACAACTGAAGCGCCTGGTAAAAGTAGGTAGCATCATCCCCTCACGCAGTTGGTTGGAATCGTACTCAGAAACCCGAGTTTTTAGAACTGGCCGTCTACAAGCCCACAGGTGAACATGTCTCGGAGTGAAAGGATTAGTTGAAGGGGGCCACGAAAGTACGGCATAGCTGCTTCCCTGGCCCTAGGCCTAGGTCGGCCTTTGGTGATGATGGACGTCCCCCTCTGTAGTCCAATCAGCGCTCTGTTCACTCTCGCCGACAGTGACTTCAGACTGGAGGAATCGCTGATCTTGAGGCGCAATCTACCACTGACATCGCCGTTTTGGTAGTCTGCCTTTTAGAGGACAACGACTGAGTGGCCTTTCTAAGCAGGCAGAATAATAATTTCATTGTGGACATCTAACTTACTAAGCGCATCTTCTGTCTTTCTCAGTAGCAAACGAAGTTTTCGACGCAACATGAGCAGCGCGGTGACTGACTACCAAAGGAGGCCTTATGCCTCGTCTGTGACGGGAATTCGGCGTATCAGTGACTTTAAAAAAAAACAGTGAAGGCAACCAGATCAGCATCGGTTGCCTTAAGATCGAATCCACACTGCAGGACCTCTGTTTGATACCCTCTGAGACGTTTCATGGAGAGCTCATGTACTGACTATTGTTCAGACCTGGAAGCATGCATGGCCTGAAATGCCCAAAAATTAGCTGATATGTCCGCATGACTGCGTCATCCCAGGGTTACCAAGGTGTTCTCCTGTGTGGCGACAGTCACCTCAGCACAGTGATGTATAACGTGTATCCTGGGGTTTTAAATACTAAATATCTCTGTCTTTAGTTAGAGTCTGGCAGTAATACACTCATCATTTGTCGTTCATGCCGGATCTTCTTTTGCCTCGCCAATTCCAATTGATCAGAGGCAGGAAGGAGAGGCAGCTTGACGCGGAATAGTTGGTCAGGCATCCATGAAAGAAACAGAACTGTGTATACATCAACACCTGTAGAAGACTATTTTCGCCCAAAGACGAGTCCGAAATTCGGGTCAATTGTGGCGAAAATACGATTAACAGGCCGCATGCGCGATGCATGTCTATGAGGGTTTGAAGTCTCACGAGCAATTTTTGGAAACCGACCTGTGACACTGAGTGCTTGAATAAATGAAGAAAAGAGATTGATATATTTCACGTTAGAGGATACCATATTTGCAACACAGGTACTAGCTGAAAGTCCACACACGCGTGTTTCGCCGATATTCTGCCGCTTCGAGGGGTCCGGCTCTTTAATGGGTCGCCCAGCATTCCTGATGGGCTTTCTGAAAATGATCGATTTTTAGTTTTACTAGAAATAAACTGCTAACTTGGAATACTGAGGGACCCACTAACCAGCCGAACCCCTCAAAGAAGTGCCACGCAGCGACAGGATATCGACGAAACACGCCTGTCCGGGCTTTTAGCTATTACTTGTGCTGATACAATTGGTATCTTTTAGCGTCAAAACATACTACTCACTGCGTGTTGGCAGTTATTATGCGGTCGGCCTGCCGTGGAGGAGGGACATCGCCCCTAATTTTCATGCATAAAATTCTCGGCCTGGACCTGTAGACCCTAGGATAAACCGACGTACTCAAAGTTGGCAGGTAATTTCTAAGGAAATTAAAGGGCGACAGCAGCTTGATACTGTCTGTGGAAAGGAATTTTTCTAAATAAAAGTATGTGTTTGTCATAGCATTTCACATTTTGAGACTGTACAGAGGAACTATCGGAGACGGATTCCTTCAACGCAGTACTGCAACTTCCTGTATACGAGCCACCCTTTTCTGCAACTGTCTCTGATGATGGATTCAAGAGGGAATCCGAAACGTCAGGCGAATAAAGCCATTGTTCCAGCGATCGCTTCTTCTTCTGATCAACTAGTTCCTGGAACTCGCATCTTCGCTTGTATCGGCAATTTGTTTGGGCGCGACGCGCTCCGATCGGCCCGACGATGGGAAACTTTCGCCCTTCGAGAGGCCTCTACTTACGCGCAGATCCGGTTTCTGCACAGGTGTCTCGATAACAACGTGTTGCCGAAGTGTGTTTCATACAAACCTCCAGTAAACACGGAGCTAGCGAGACACACGGTATTTCAGCACGGAAGACGTATGATCCGCGTGGTCCTTCAAGATTGTCATGCGAGACTACGCAAATACCGTCAGAGAATTGACCAAGAAAAGGCCAGATGCTGCGAGGTCATGGGCGAGAACGGCACAAACCTGCTTCAGCAGAAAGTGACTGAACGATCCCGCGAGCAGAGAGCGACACGCGATGCAGCTCTGGGGAACAAATTCCACAAACTGCCTGATCCAGCGTCATCCAGAGGCGGCACACTGGTACACAACCTTTCGTCAAAGGAACTGACGAAGGAGCAAGTACAGGTTTTACGGCACGAAGCCTCATTCAACACAGCTGACGCCAAACCTGTCAACATGATTGCAGCAGTGGAATCGGTCATTAATCAGACGAAAGCGGCGGAGGAGACGAAGAACCTTATCCGACACCAAGGTTCGTCCCTCCTTATGACTCACAAGCCGCGCGAAACATTCACAAAGGTCGAACGCGATGCACTAAGAGAACTCAAAGCCGACAAGGACATCGTCATTGTGCCCGCGGACAGGGGGCGTTCCACCGTCGTACTGGACAGAACAGACTACCTTCAGAAGGCCAAAAACCTACTGGAGGAACGCCAGTTCTATGTCCCATGTGAAACTAACCCCGTAAAAACGCTGACACGCGAAATTAATGCAACACTGTTGGCACTGGAGAACTCGGGTGCAATAACAGCGACCGACCGACGCATGGCGAGAGCCCAAGAAACGGCCTTGGCCCGATTCTATGGTCTCCCAAAGGTGCAAAAAGACGGCGCTCCTGTCCGACCCATCGTGTCGCTCAAAGGGACTCCAACGTACGGACTGGCTAAGCGGCTGTTTCGGCGCCTCAAATCTCTGACCGCTGATTCGGACACCACTGTCTGTTCGTCAACGCAATTCCTGGAGAAGCTTAAAGGAGTAAGTCTCTTGCTAAATGAGGTCATGGTATCTTTTGACGTCACGTCCCTCTTTACTTCTATCCCCCAGGATCTGGCAATCGAGACCGTCCAGCAACTCCTACGAAACAAATACGATAAAACGGAGAATCGTCTCGGACAGGCCCAAGTCCATCAGATCCTAAAGTTCTGTCTCAGGACGTACTTCACGTTTGACGGAACAATCTACGAGCAAGTGAAGGGAACACCAATGGACTCGCCGATTTCGGGATTCATCGCCGAGGCGGTCCTACAGCGGTTGGAGTCGCTGGTCTTCCAACACCACAGACCGAAATTCTGGGCTCGGTATGTAAACCATACCTTCGTCGTCATCGAACGGGACCAGGTGCTAACGTCCAAAGAACGTCTCAACTGCGTCTTCCCGGACATACAATTTCCGATGGAGGAGGAAGAGAATAACCAGCTGGCATTCCTTGATGTCCTCGTCTGTCGCAAAGATTGTGGTGGCCTAAAGACCAAAGTGTTCAGAAAAGCAACGAACACGACGCAAATTCTGAACTTCAACAGTAACCACCCAATCTGCCACAAACGCAGTTGCGTAAGAACGCTATTTCGGCGTGTTGAGACGCACTGCAGTGAACCGGAAGACAAGGTTGCCGAATCCTAATATCTTCGACGGGTTTTCCGAAAAAATGGTTACTCGCGCAACTTCGTCAACCGGTGCCTGTGCAAACAAGACGAGCGACAAACTCGCGCCGACCCCAAATTCTGGCGAGCGATCCCGTACATCAAGAACGTCACCGAGGCCGTTAATCGCCTTCTTGCACCACTTGGGGTTGAAGTTGCGCACAGACCGGAGGCCACCATGAGGCGTCAAGTGATGAGACCAAAAGACCCACTGCCACGACAAGAAACATCTGGTGTCGTTTACCGGATCTGGTGCAGTTGCGGACAAAGCAACTATGTCGGAGAAATTGGAAGACTGCTCCGGACGAGAATCGCCGAACACGTGGCAGCTGTACGGAGAAATGACGCCAACTCTCAGGTCGCGGCCCATTCGACGAGACCCGGCCACACATTCAATTTCGATGAGGCCGAAATCCTCGCGAGAGGGGATAATCGCGTGAGCCGCGGGTTGCTTGAGTCATGGTCGACAGGACCTCAGTCTATCAATAAGTGCAACGACATCCCCACTCCATTTTCCGTGCTGAGGCATAGGCTGGCCAAAGCAACTGACTACTCGAGGAGCGCGCAAGCCGATGAGCCAGATGGCCGAGCAATCATTACACCAGCATCCAACACAGGTGATGAGATGTCAGCAATTAACAACTTGCATGCCGGCCATCAAGCAAGTAGCGCACCAGCGGGCAACAATCCTTGATGAAGGGATCACGGTTAATTGTTGTAGGTATGCGGTAACGTGGCGACCGCATCCTATAAATACTGCGACTTTCTGTACACGAGCCACCCTTTTCTGCAACTGTCTCTGATGATGGATTCAAGGGAGAATCCGAAACGTCAGGCGAATAAAGCCATTGTTCCAGCGATCGCTTCTTCTTCTGACCAGCTGTGATTTCGTCAACCGCGTTGGATGCTGATGTGACGATTGCTCGGCAAATTGACTCACTGTCACTAGGATGATTGCTCGCCCGCGCCCTCCCCACTTGAATGATTCTCCTGCCCAGGGAATATCTCAGCACAGAATGCAATACGGGGATTGTCATTGCGCTTGTTGATGGATTGCGAGCCTGAGGACCATGACTCGAACAGCTCTCGGCTCACGCGGTTGTCACCCCTTGCGAGAATTTCGGCCTTGTCAAATTTGAATGTGTGGCCGGAACCCGTCGAATGAGCCGCAACTTAAGAGCTGGCGTCATTTCTCCGTATCGGTGCCGTGTGTTCGGCCATTTGCGTCCGAAGCTGTCTTCCGGTTTCTCCGACGTAGTTGCTTTGTCCGCAACTGCACCAGATCCGGTAAACGACTCCAGACGTTTCCTGCCGTGGCAGCGATCTCTCGGCCTCATGACGTGTCGCTTAATGGTTGCTTGCGGCCCATGTGCAACCCCAACTCCAAGTGGAGTGAAAAGACTGATAACAGCTTCCGAGACGTTATTCACGTACGGAAGAGCCCGCCAAAAATAGGGGCCTGTTGGATTTGGTCTCTGGTGTTCTTTTCTTACGCACTGATTAAGAAAGTTGCGCGGGTAACCATTGGCTGTCATTATCCGTCGAAGATATTGCAATTCAGCAACCTTGTCTTCCATTTCATTGCAGTGCATCTCGACGCGCCGGTATAGAGCCCTTACCGAACTGTGTTTGTGACTGATCGGGTGACTGCTATTGAAGTTCATTATTTGCGTCGTATTTGTCGGTTCCTGAACACTTTGACCTTTAAGCCACCACAATTTTTGCGGCATACAAGGGCATCCAGGAAGGCCAGCTGGTTGTTCTCTTCCTCCCCCATCGTAAATTGAATGTCCGGGAAGACGGCGTTGAGATGCTCTTTGAATGTCAGCACCTGATCCCGTTCGGTGACGACGAAGATGTCATCCACATACCGAGCCCAGAATTTCGGTCCGTGGTGTCGGAAATTCAGCTACTCCAGCCTTTGTAGGACCGCCTCAGCTATGAGTCCCGAAATCGGCGAACCCATTGGCGTTCCCTTCACCTGCTCAGGTGAACGTAAAGTACGTCTTGAGACAGAACTTCAAGAGTTGGATGATTCGGACGTGTCCGAGGCGATTCTCCGTTTTGTCGTATTTCTCTCGTATGAGTAGATCGATGGTATCGACTACCGGCTCCTGCGGGATGGAAGTAAAAAAAGACGTGACATCAAAAGAACCCATGATATCGCTTGACAGGAGACTTACTCCTTTAAGTTTATCCAAGTATTATGTTGACGAGATGACTGTGGTGTTAGAATCGGAGGTCAGAAGCTTGAGACGTCAAAACAGCCAGTTTGCCGGTCCGTAGGTTGGAGCGCCCTTTAGTGATACGATAGGCCGGAGAAGAGCGCCCTCTTTGTGTACTTTCGGGAGACCATAGAATCGGGCTAGGACCGTTTCTTGCGCTCTCGCCATGCGTCAGTCGATTGGCGATATTGCACTTGAGTTCTCTATTGCCAACGGTGTCGCGGCAATCTCGCGTGCCAACGTTTTCATGGGGTTGGATTCGCATGGGACATAGGACTGACGATCCTCCAACAAGCTTTTGGCTTTTTGATTGTAGTCTGTCCTGTCCAATACGACCGTGAGACGCCCCTTGTCCACAGACACGATAACGAGGTCGTTGTCGGCCCTGCGTTCCTTAAGTGCATCGCGCTCGACCTTGGAAAGCACGTTGCGCGGCCTACGAGCCATGAGGGGGGAGGACACTTGGTGTCGAAAGATTGTTCTTCGTTTCGTTTGTCGCTCCAGTCTGTCTGAGGATTGATTCCACTGCTGCAATCGTGTTGGCAGGTTTGGCATCGGCTGTGTTGAATGAGGCCTCATGCCGTAAAACCTGCATTTGTTCCTCCGTCAGCTCCTTTGACGACAGGTTGTGCACCAGTTTGTCATTCTTGGATGAAGTTAGAGCAGGCAGCTTACGAAATTTGTTCTCTAGGGCTGCTTCGCGAGTTGCTTTATGTTCGCGGGTTCGTTCGGCCAGCCTCTGCTGAAGCAGCTTTGCGCCGTCCTCGCCCATGAACTCGCAGCACCTTGCTTTCTCTTGGTCAATCCTCTGACGGTATTTGCGAATCCGTGAGTGACAGTCTTGAAGCAGCACACGGATCATTCGTCGGCCATGCTGAAGTACTGCGCGTCTCTCCAGCTCTGTGTTAACCGGAGGTTTGCATGAAACATAGGTAACAATCGGGAAAGGGCACCCAAAAAATAGCGCTGGCCAAAGAAGTGATCATATCGCAACCGTCCTAGGCTATGTAGCCATCGACTGAGCCGCACACTGGCGACTGCGGTAGCTCCTGACCTCTGGAAATAATGGTAAAAATTGATACTTCAAGTGCTCGGTCAACGACGATCGTATTGCAATTGTCCGTAGGTAAGCTACTATAGAATAATCCCCATAGGGACTACTGTGGTAGCTTGTCAGCAGTGGAAGCTTATATTAAGGTTGTTTAACGTAGGGTGGGTCTACGGCGATCGTTTCTCAACTCTCTTAAGGTATGCAAGGGTATATTTAGCCGCAAACCCACCACTGCTGTCACTCTTCAGCCGTGTAAGCCTAGGTCAAGGTTGATTAACCATGACTCGGTCTGCAGCGGTGGCATCGCAACTGTTGGAGACTATGTTAATCTAAGTGAGGCAACATGTGCACTGCAGATCATATAAAATTGATACGGATGAAGCAACAAATATGTAGGGCCATAACCTACTCAGGTATTATTTCTAAACAAGTGACATTTGGGTGCCCTCTCCCGATTGTGGCCGAAACATACTTCGGCAGCACATTGCTGTCGAGAGATCTGTACAGAAATCGAATCTGCGCATATGTAGACGACCCTCGAAGGGCAAAGGTTTCCTACTGTCGAGCCGATCGGAGCACTTCGTGCCCCAAAAGATTGCTGATAGAAGCGAAAGGCAAGTTCCAGGTAGTAATTCAGAAGAGAGAGCTGCCATCACTAGAACAAGAGGTTTATTGGACTGACGTTTCGGATTCTCATTCGAATCCGTCATCAGAGACAGTCGCAGATAAGGGTAATGGTGGCACAAGGAGCGCAGTATTTATAGCACGTAGCTGCCGTGGAACCATATAAGCTGCTGTTTGCCGTACGCATATGGTCCCACGCAGCCACGTGCTATAAATACTGCGCTCTTTATGTCACCATTTCTCTTATCTGCTACTGTCTCTGATGAAAGATTCCAGTGAGAATCCGAAACGTCTGGCCAATAAACCTTTTATTCCAGTAATCACAGTTCCGTCTTCTGAACTTCTACCTGGAACTCTCCTGTTCGATTTTATCTTAATTTAACATCGTTTGACATACAAATGCGGCTCGATAGTGTACAATGTGCTCTGACAGTTCGACCGTCGCATCCGGCAATGTCCACCGTGTGCTCCGTGGCAAGGTAAATCAGGCACGGTAACTTGTTCGTGAATTTGTTAACAGTAAATATAGACTTGCGCTGCATCTACCGCACTCTCTTCTCCGCCCCACCTGAACCCGCAGTCAAGGCAGGGTCAGGAAGACCGGAGGTGGGGATGACGCAGAATGTTGACACGATCGGACCCATATTTAGGCGTGACACCACACTCCCTGGTTCATAACAGATACTAGACAAGGTTTTTAATGCACAACAACAACACGACAACTGTTCGGAAGGAAAAGGATGACTGAGCAGCCATGCTCACGATCTGTATACGCAGCAAGAGCACAAGCGCATCTATCGGCAGGCAACCAGGTGCCATAAAACTGTCAGCACACACCAGACTGCGAGGGCCATGGCTTGCTCAGATTTCTAAGTTCCGCAAATATTCCCATGTTAAAATTGAAAAGTCAAGTTGGCGAACGCACGTTTTCGGTAATTCTTCCTCAGGCCAATACAATTACATGAACGAATGAAAATGTACAAACTCAACAGTGTTTATAGATGCCTCAAGGGCTATTAAGTCACTAACACTCTTCATCCCACGCCGCCCGCATGAGAAGGTCGGCGGGTGTTAGTCGTCAGGGCTAGGGGAGGGGGGTAAGAGAGTCTTTGAGTAATGTTCTTGGGTGGTGTACACGGAGTACCCATCATCGTGATTAGGGATTTGAGGCGGCATGGCTTCATCACTTGGGGTTGGCGTTGGCCACGGCAGCGAAAGCGCTTGTGTCAGAGTTTTCTGACAGCATAACACCGGATTCACTAACCGTATCGCTACTGCCTCGGCCGTTGCTAGTATCCGTTGGCGTAGGCCTTTAGAGAAGCATGTTGGTGTCCGGTAGACAACCTGAAATGCTTTCTTGGCATCGACTCGGTGGTTCGTATCGATTAAATGCGCGAGAATAGAACTCGAAATCGACCGGGTCTCACCTCTGTCTAGCCAGGCGGGCATAGGTTCACGCACCCTCTTTACCAGGCGTCTCGTTGTGCGGCCGATGTATCCTGCTCCACAGGAGCAAGTGAATGACTAAATGCACATTGATGTGGCCTCCAACGGTAGTCTGTCTTTACCTCCCAAACGTAGGAGGGGAGAGTTTGTGAAGCATACGCGTAAATTCGCCGCAGGGAATGCCCTCGTGATAGCTGTAGTTAAGCGCCGTCGGACTAATTCGCTCTCTGCGTCTCCTCTAAAAGGCAATCTTATGAATACATCTTTCTTTTCCGCAGTCGCAACAGTGGGCTTTTCAACGCGTTCCCCAATATTTCGGAGGATGAATCTATCTGGGTATCCGTTCTCCCGAAGTGTGTTCCGCAGCTGTTGAAGTTCTTCTTCAATAGCTTCAGGTAAGCAGATGCGTCTCACTCTCGCCGCCACTCCCTGGACTAAATTCCGTTTGATGTTAAGGGGGACAAAACTGTGGAAATTAACGTATTGTCCCGTCCAGGTTTTCTTTCGGAACACCCTGCGCTGGATAGACCCATCCTCTTGCCTGTGCAGAAGGACATCGAGAAAGGCAAGTTCGTTATCTGCCTCGGTCTCTGCAGTGAACTTTAGCGATGGGTGCGCACTGTTGAACTTTTGGACAAGCTCCTCGGTATCGGTGGTACCATCCGTCAGGCAGAAGATATCGTCCACATACCGACGGTAGAAGACGAGGCCATTAATGGTCTCTTGCAAGCTTGTTTTCTCGATTTTGCCCATAAAAACATTTGCAAGGAACGGTCCAAGCGGTGATCCCATTGCCACACCATCTACCTGCCTGTATAATTGGCCATTGCACAGAAATTGGACATTTTGTGTGCAAAACGTCAGTAGTTCTTTTAGCGTTTTCACAGGCATGTCTATGGCGTAGTTCGTATCACGAATAACATTACAAAGATAGTTTATTGTTTCTGCCACGGGTACGTTGGTAAACAGCGATGATACATCCAGTGATAACATCCTCCGTCCGCCAACGTTCATATTTTTGATAGCTTCGACGAATTCAAAGGAGTCTTTTAAACTTCGAGGGTATAGGTAACTTTGCAATGGCTTTAGTTTTTCCACTAGCCATTTTGCAACAGTATGATAGGGCGAATTCCTCATATCCAAGATTGGACGTAGAGGCAGCCCTTGTTTGTGAATTTTAGGAAGGCCGTACATTCTTGGTATTGTCGAGCCCACCGGTCTCAGTCGTTCATACTCTTTGCTAGACAAAGAGTGCAGAAGCAATATAGAAGTCCAATTGCATTTAGACAGTCTCGGCTTGCCATAAATACCGCTGCTCCATGCTTTATTTTTGTTTCGGTAAGACATTTAAAGAGTCAAGTGGCCTGCCAAATAACTCAATACTTTATTCATCCAAAAATAACGTGGATAATTTGAAGGCTACACGGCACGTCCGTCAACATTTGTTCTATACTTCCGGACCCTCCATCATATGCCAATTATTCTGTCATAAGCAAACTAAACTTTTGGAAATCCCATGCACATGCCTATGGGATGCTCTTATTTAGATGATTTAAACAAACCGCTAATAGCTCGTTTTGCCTGCCCGAATGCATTTGCCGAGGAAACTGGCATGCATCTACTGTGGAAAGAAATTCACTTTAAAATATGTTTATCGCAGATGCTTGTTAGGAGCCGAGGCATTTTTTCACTGATTTATATCATGGCGCAACTTCTAGTACTTCAGTTTAGGAGTGCTTGCCATTGTAACCCAGATTTACAACGCAAAGATCTGTGGTTCGGAGAACAATATCCTGTCAAACAGACGGATATGGATCACAATGACCGAATGAAGTCGGACGTCATCAGTCTACAATGAACGGGACGAAAGAATCTGCGCGATGAGGTGTAACACAGTCATACTCCGAAGCAGTTGCCATTCTTAAATAAATCGCTTCCTTCTATTCAAAAGTTACAACAAAAATTATCACCAGTTTGTCGAGTGACGAACTCCTCTGCGCGGACTGTTGGCTGCGTGTACGCAAATTTACGACAGAAGTGGAACTCACAGAAAGATCTTCCGAATCAAATCAAGCATCGAATATCTCAGGAAATAATTAGACCGATGAGTGGCTACTTCCGATGGGTCAGCCATTTTATTTGGCATGCACAAAGATTCTTTTCGGTTAAGTTTGATCCAGATAGCCGGTTAGAGGCCAAGGCACGTTTTCAATGTTTTTTCATAACGCATCTCCGAATGGTTCTGTTTGACCGTGCTCAATATTGTAACTCATTTTTGCAACGTAAGCTTGATGATTTCGAGGGGAATATTATGTAGCTAAATCCTCGGATTTCCATTTCCAGTTATCCCACATAATAAATGCAGGGTTAATGGTCATTGAAAGCACAAACTGCTTAGCTATAGTGATGGGGTTTTACAGTGAGTGCCCGATCTCATGAAATGTTTGCTGAAAGTATGAGATACGTTTTTGGTTAGGAAGGATTACTTAGGGGCAGTTGTAATACTGATTATCCTGCACCTTGTAGACTGAAATCACTAAGCGCTAATGCAACGACTGATCAGGCCCCAAAGTATTTTGCAATTGAAAAACTTTTTAAAAGATGACGTGATTTTCCACCAAATGACTAAAAGAAAGCATACTTTTGTTCGG